GCCATGGGGAGAATGAACAAGGAAGTGAGCCCACAGAGGGCTGTTCCTGGAGACGATAAACTGAAAGTGACAGCTGTCAGAAAGGAATCTGCAGAACAAGCAGCAAGTGGTCCCTGGCCATTTCCTGCCAGCATAAATAGCAGCCTCCCTCCTCTGGCCAACCGTTGGCTCCTCTGGCTTTACCCACTGTAACCCTGGTCATCAAAAATGACCACCTAAGCTTCATGTCATTACTCAAGGAAGGGCCCAGACTTGAACACGACTCCCACCCAGATGTGTTAAAACCTGTCCATCTTAATGGGTGTGCGCTTAGCAAGGTCAGCTTCCCTCATCTGGAAACTTCCTTGGGTGGTGCAAGGGCTCCTTGGTGATACAGCATCACCCTGCAAATAGAGGCTTAGGGGATCTGTGTGTCCAGAATCACAAGCCTACAGAACTCTGTCCACCAGTGCCAGGATGGGCCATCAGGGACAAGAGTGGGTGTCCCTATTTGTTACTGCTCCAGAAGACAGGCCTCAGGTTAACGAGTCTCTTAGACTCAGGGGAAGACTTCAAGTTAACACCAGGTAGGGTGGTTTAGTGTCCGGTCTCGTGAGCTGCAGGCAGAGTTTGCTCGGGAGGAGGGTGCTCCCCGTGTGCAGGAGGATTCCAGCAGAGCCCAGGTACGAGCTGGGTAGGATGCTATGGATGGAATATTGAATGGGGAAGGGATGCAGAAGATCCACGGCTACCCAGCTGTGTTTCTTGGATTGCTTGAAGGATGGGACTGCTGAGGGTCAGGGAGAGAAATGCCAAGGCATGGAATCCCACCTCCCTCCCCTCTTCAGTCAACTCACAGTCACGGATGCACCCCGAGTGCCTACCACCTTACATAAACCAACTCACCGGTTCCAGGGAGAGACACCCAGACCAGCGATGGATAGGAGTGGTGGTGTCCCACCAGCCACTCCTGGTCATTCTCCACCACTGGTGGAGGCAGTGTGCTTCCAAGCCACACTGTCTTGTTCTAGAAGACACCGCCCAATCAGAGGCTCTGCGATGGGCTCTGCTCCTCACATCTCAGCTTCTCACTGAGGAGGTAGTCCCTGGACTACGACCTCCTTAGTGGATGATTTCGCAGAGATAACCCATGAGACACCATGACAAAGACATCACTGTGCCCATTTGTCAGGTGGTAAACCTGAGGCTCAGAGCATATGTGTGAGTTCTCTGAGGTCATCTGTCTATGGCACAGGGGAGCACGTCACCAGAATACTCACGCCTGACCCAGGTCCCCATCACCTCCCCACCGAAGGAACAACAATAATCTCGTGACACCCTTCACGGTCCTCACATCATCTTCATTGGGATCTGAGCCCCTTGAGTGTCCTTGAACGTGCCACGCTTACGTTCACCTCTGGTCTCCGCTGCACATGCTGCCCCTCCTCCCACAGCCCACCCTCCAGAGGCCTCACGCCACACGCTCATCCTCCAAATCTGGCCTCCTCCAGGAAGAGGAGGAGGTGCACCCTGGTGCACCTCTCTCTCCTGTCAGTGAAATGCCTTCTCACGCACTCTCAGAGCACAGCCACCATGCTGGCCCTTGTCCCCTCGCATGGCCACCCCTTGCCTGGGTGCACTGCTCAGCTGGACTTCAGTCTGCAAGGCTTCCCGCCCGAGGCTGGGGCCGGTTTGAATGAGCATCTGCGGAGCGGATGAATGAATCCAGAGACCTGGACACTCTGCCAGGGGGTCCTGCTTCCATCTGGAACCCGAAGTCGGGTGAAGAGCTCCCTGCCTTTGTCTCTTCCAGCCTCACCACCATCTGCGCTCTAATGCCCTCTTCCCAGAGTCGGGCGCATCCGGCTTTGAGCCCCATCCAAGATCGACCTCCTTCCCTCTGTGTTTGCAGACAGCGATCAACATGCTGTGGAGCACCAGGTGGTGGAGCCCCGACCGGCCTGGGGCTCCAGGAGCGCAGTGTCTGCAGACCTCTCCTTGCCCAGAGCCGATTTAGCCGGTGGAGACATCTGCCTGCACCTAGGCGCAGGGGCCCGCTGTCTTTGATTTATGAGCACCTGCTCCCCGGGCTTAGAACCCATCTGCTGCCTCCGCTCGCCTCTGCCGCCCAAGGGCAGACCCCGCTGTCATCTCAATCCCTGGGCTGGGGCGAAGGCCTCAGTCTTGTTCCTTTCATTCTGTTCTCTGCACTGATGTTCCCCCAGTGTAGCGAAACCTGGTCACCGGCCTCACCGCCGACAGGACAGCCACACTGAGCCCCCCTGCTCCCCGACAGGCCTGCGCTCCTGGACACAGCTGACGTGTTCTTTCTCTGGTTCTTTACTCCTTTATCTGCTCTTTCCTTCACCCAGTACTTCTTTTTAAAATTTTCTCACTATGTTCATTCAATAAATATTTATTATACACTTCGTTCTACCCTAGGGGAGGGGACCTGAAAGGAGAACAGTAGAGTTCCCCATCTAGGAGGCTGGTATATTGGTTTTATTTAGGGGGAAAAAATGCAGGAAACAAATACATGAACCAGAACACTACACTAGAGAAGTGTGTGCTCTGATGGAAAGAAAATAAGGTAGGTGACACAAAGTGACTGACAGGGTGACTTTAGGAGGGTCAGAGGAAGTTTCTGCAGATGTACACTGGGATACGTGAGCAACCAGGGGCAGTGGGACTGGCAGTACGTGGCCCAGCCTGAGCCTGGCTGCAGACAGCTGGCCGTCACTCATGTGTGGGAGTCAAGGGGGACAGGCTAGGATGACACCCATGGTGAGCGCTTAGGGAAGGCTGCCCTGCTGTCCAAGGCCCTCCTCAGGCCTGGACAGACTCTCCTCTCCGCCCCTGTGTATAAGGTGCCATTTAAGGTGTTAAATGGCACCTTATACACAGGGGCGGGTCCGTTTCCAAGGTCAATCCCAGTGCCCGGCATGGTGCTGGGAGGGTGACCGGCATCCACGCAGGCTTATGGCCAAATAAAGGCAGTCACAGATTCCAGGAAAAACCAGGGACGCCTTCACCCTGGTGATCCACCCAGGGGAAGGAGACGGCAGGAAAAGCTGGTGAGTCACTTGCAGAGGGGGCTTCTGCTTCCGAGGACGCAGCAGCTCGCTCCAGGAAGCCACCGACATGGGTGATGGACGAGGGCTTCCTTCTGCAAGGCTTTTACCATGGAGGGGGGAAACGGTAAGAGATGTGTTTTCATTCAGCGTTCAGAGAAAAGTGTCAAGGGGACACTCAAATATTGATGACGATGACTGAGACCAATGTGAGCAGAGAACTGGCAGAAAACCCAAGGAACCCAGCGTGGGTCACAGCTCCGAGTGCTTCTCTGAACCTCTAAGTGCTTAAGCACTTAATGGCTTTCCCTCCGCCATCAGGAGGAGGCTTCTAGGGTGAAGGGAAGAAGGGCCGGGGCTGGCTGTGACCTCACCGTGACTTGGAGGCCAAGGGCAAGGGCAGCACTGTGACCAGTGCTGATAAAAAGCCAGGTGAGACAGGCCTCTACACCTTCCAGTCACCCTCCCCCACCACTGGAAGCTAAAAGAACTCTCAGAGCATCCAAAATAACCATAGAACAATGACAATCATGGTGAAAAATCAGAATTCTCCTTCTTTACTCTAGTTTACAAATCCTTCCAGCATGGCCCTGCCGCCTGATCCTCTTCTTCCCCACGAGTCCCCGGCACACTGGCCATCCTTCTGCTCCTCATGCCTGCCCTGCCTCAGGGCCTTTGCATCACTACTTCTTCCACCTGCAGAGCACTTCCTTTGCTCCGCCATGGCTAGCTCTTTCTTGTCATTCAGATTTCAGATGAAACATCACCTCCTCATAGAAACCTTCCCTGGACCCCCAACCAACACAGCTGCCCCCAGCTCCTCACTAGCCTATAGCTAGGTAGCACCCACCACTAGCCGTCAATTTTTCCTGATGGTTTGTTATTAATCTTCTCTTCCACTAGTATTTGAGTAACACAGGAGCAGGGACCACTGTCCCTCTGCTCTCCACCTGTGAACACTCAGTGCTTAGATCAACCATGACTGTGGACTGAGTAAACCAATCACTTCTGGGTCTGATGCTAAGATCAAGAAGAGCCGGAAGCAGGTATTTACTGAGCATCTAACATGGCAGATACTGAGCTAGCTGTTTACAAGCAGTTTCTTGATGTTTTTTTTTGCACTGGGAATTGAACTCAGGGGCCCTCAACCACTGAGCCACATCCCCAGCCCTTTTTGTATTTTATTTAGTGACAGGGTCTCACTGAGTTGCTTAGCGCCTCACTAAGCTGCAGGCTGACTTCGAAGTGCTGATCCTCCTGCCTCAGCCTCCCAAGCTGCTGGGATTTCTGACAGTTGGAGAAACTGAGGCACAGAGAGGTCACACAGGTACTAATTGGAAGGGGCCAGAAATAAATCAAGGTCTGCTAAATGCTGCTTCCCCATATCCTTAGAGCTGAGGGTCAGCCTCAACTTTGCTTCTAATTTGCTGTGTGCCTGTGGACAATCTGCTCAGCCTCTCTGTATCACTATTGCTTCAAATGTAAAACACGGTTTCTACGAGCACCCAATGAGATAGAGCATACGATAAAATTATAAACAGCAAAGAGACAGGAGAAGGAGACAGATGTCAGCTGTGCCTCTGACCACTCACCTAACTCTGTCCTTACCTGATGAAGTCACACCTGTGGAAATCTCCTTCTGTGCCCACCCCCCACGCACTGCCCCGACCTGGATTCTGGATCTCCCAGGTAGATGCCACGTCCACAAAGACAAAGGGGGCTTCCTGGCCACGAGAGACAATTCACCTGCCGTTTCACAGGTGGTCTTCTGACCCACCCATCTGGGATGACTGTCCCCTCTGGGACCCGCAAGGAACAGCATGAAAGGGATCCACTGACGTGTCCTTGCACCCGAGAGTGGACTCCCAGGGCAGGGGAGGCGTCAGGTCCAAGGCAGACCTGGAGCCCGGCACCTGTACCTGGAGGAGCAGGGCCGCCCCCGTCCCTTACGTTCTTGCTGTTGACGTCGGCCTCGCTGGGGCAGCCGAACAGCTCCCGCCGCAGCAGGTTACCGTCGTACTCCAGGAAGGTCAGGTAGAGGTTTCGGAAGAACTCCACGTGCTTGTTCTTCACCCGCAGCTTCTTGGGGGAGTTCCAGTGGATGACCTGGCAGGCGACAAGGGGGCAGTCAGGAGGCGAGGGACCTTGCACCTGCTGCCATTCATCCATTCATCCAGCATCGACAGATCAGTGGCTAAGGGCAGGGCGCCTGGCTCAAATCCTGGACAGTCCAGGTGTCACTTGCATAGATGACTGAATTGCCCCGTATCTCGGTTTCCTCATCTGTGAAACGGGAATCCTCCTGGGTCCAGCCTGGACCAGTTATTACATTACCCTCTCTGGGCTCCATGCCTGCTTTGTGCTGCAGAGGTCGGGGTTCTGCAAACCCTAAATCTGTGTGGCGCTGCCCACAGGGCCACAGAGGGAGACGGAGCCCGGGGGAGGGGAGCACTGCTCCTCCCCTGGCTTCCTGTTCCCGGGTGCCTCCCCTGGTGCCCTGTCTTCTCCCTGGCAGCAACACGCCCTCCCTCAAACAGCAGGGAAATCCACCTGGCAGCTTTTGTGACACTCAGGACATGCCTGGTCGTCTCCCTTCTCTGCCCAGAGCCTCCAGCCTGGCTGGGGACCCCACCCTGGAGGCACAGGCATTAATAATCCCACCTGTTCCCTCCGCTCCTTCAGCTCTAGGGGTGGTAACTTCCCTGAAATGTTCGATTTTTGTTTTATTGAGGTCTCAAGTGAACACTTCACGTTTAGCTGCCATGTTACTGATGAAAGCAGGTGGTCTCTGCCTTCAGTTCGGGCTCTGAGTGAGTTAATAGATATTAAGCCCAGCACAGGGTAGGTGCTCAATGGACACTGGCTCTGACCATTTTTGCACCCACAGTGTGCTGGACTTGGAGGTGTCCAGAGGACCCTGGGGGCTGCCTATGGCATGCTCATGGTCTGCTGGGGAGAGGTGTCCACACAGGGAGGGAAGAGCAAAAGTCCTGGCAGCTCTGGAGTGGGCATGTGGTTTCTGGGGAGGCCTGTGAGGAGGCCACATGTTGGGGGAGTCCACATGCTGAAGCTGGAGCACCCGGGCAGGGGCAGGGGTGAGCGAGGTGGCCGAGCACTGGGCCAGGCTGATGCCCTGCACCCAGGAGTCCCACGTTCCCATCCAGGCTGTAGCCAGTAGAGACTGTGAAGGGGAAACTGCTAACTTTAGGTTTTGGGAAGAGCCCTCGGATTGTAAGGGAGAAGACCAGTGTGGAGTGTGTGGGAGAGGGGGTGAATTCAGGCTGCTCATGAATCAGTTGTAATTTCCAGCTGAGAAACGAGGCCTTGGTGACACATTTTCTGATTTCATTGGAAAGACAAGATATGTACACACACAAAAAAAGCTGGGAAAAGGCAAGTGAAAATTTATAGAATATTTACTATGTATTAAAATTGTACCGAGCCCTTTAATTATTAATACATAGCAGAATTCATTACTAGGATTAATAATTATCATTACTTATAGGAACTATGAGCAATGGAGAATTGGTCTTAACTGTTTTGATGTAAGCCCACGGGGGCAGCACAGTGGTCGGTGCCACCCTACAGATGGGGAAAGGGAGGCACAGGACAATTCTGCCCTTTGCCCATGGTCATACAGAATTAGGCGCAGCACCCCAACAGCCCAACTCCACCAGCTTCACCACTGCACTCTGCTGGCTCTGAGATGGACACGCAGGGCCCTGTGCAGGCAGGACATGTAGAAAGACTATTGCGGCAGACCTGAAGGATAGGGTGGGGTAGGGGGTGCATGCACGGGGAGGGTGGGTTCAGGTGAGGGAGGTCACACAGAGGAACAGAAGAGCCAGGGAGGGACCTCAAGGGGTTACCCTGTGATGGTGGCCCTGGTCACAAGTGGTTGTTTCCTCTTTCACTCACTCCTTTTCCCTCTCACACTCACTTTCTTGCCCTTCTGCCTTCTGCCATGGGATGAGGTAGCACAAAGGCCTTTGCCAGAGGCAGGCCCCTTGACTGGTGGACTTCCCAGCCTCCAGAACTGTAAGAAATCAACTTCTGTGTGTTGTCCATTACCTAGCCTGACATGTATTGTTATAGCAACACAAAACAGGCTGAGACAATTGGAGTCCTCCTCATAATCATCCTAAGAAGGCAAGCAATTTTAAAGATAAGGAAAAATTCCTTGCCCAAGGCATCTAGCTGGTAAATGTGGGAGCCAGGCTTCACATATGAAACTTTCTGACCCCAAAGCCCAAGTGTTTCCTCTGCACTGTGGTGAGCACGAGAAGCCAGGTTTTGACCACTTCCGTTTTCATGCCATGACTGACTACACAGAAAGCAGAATAAGCTCTCATTTCCCCCTACGTAGCCGTGGTCTCACTGCCTCACCTTGGGGGCTGGACTAGCATACCTAACATGATGAACTGAATGTGTGTAAGCCCCCCACCCCTGAATTCAGTTCACATAATTTACAAAGCAGTGGTATTAGGGGACAGGTCCCTGGGAGGTGACTGGGTCATGAGAGAAGAGCCCTCATACAAGATTATATAGAAGGGGTTAGAGTCTGAAGCCATCCACTCTGCAGCCACGCAAGGACACACCCAAAGAGGCCACCTATGAACAGGGAAGTGGCCCTTGACAGATCCCAGTTCCTCCACACCCTGACCTTGGACTTCCGAGCATCCAGAACTGTGAGAAACAAACATCTGCTGGTTCTAGGCCACCCAGTTATGCTGTTTTGTCACAGTGTCCCAAAGACGCTGAGGAAAGGAACTGGGCATGTCCAGCTCAGTCACCTCCTGGTTCCCCGCTCTAGCCATATCCTGTCTGCAGAGTCTGCAGCAAGGACACCTCTCTCTGCCCTCCCTTTGGAGGAGGCAACCTGGCCATTCCCTTCGAAGCTCGTTACCCTTCTTGGAGCCTCAGTTTCCTCAAGGTGAGAATCAGTAGCGTCAAGGCTGAACAGATGCCTTCAACAGGGCCTGCAAGTTAGGGTGGCTCCATAAATGTGGTTCCCAGCAGGACGACCTGCAGCCACAGGGAGAGAGCACCTGGAGCTCAAGGGGGTGCAGGGAGGGCTGGAGGCCTGCAGGAGGCCAGCTGTGGAGGCTGGTATTACAGGGAAGGCTGAGGAGGAAACATGCAGTTTTCTTCCTGTGACTTTTGAAGGGGTCAGAAGAAGATTTTCCTGAGAAGACACCCACTCGGGGCTTGAGAAGACCCTGGGCCACAGGTTGAAACAATTGCATGTGGGCCGGTGTCACCTATGCCCAGTGGGGCCACGTCTTCATTTCAAATGACTTTGGTGCTCTCCAGCTGCTGTTTTGTCACAGTGTCCCAGGAGGAGAGATGCTGGGTACCACCTGACTTGGGAAACCTGGGCTTCCTCAATGGGGAGACACCTGACCTAAGTGGGAACAGAGCCCTCAGACCCCCAGACACGTCTCCATGCATCGTGCACAAACCTCCCTGGTGCTTTGGAGGCAATGCTCACTAAAGACTCCAAACAGGTCACCTGCCCTTATTGTTCGTGTCCCCGAGGTTGTGTGTGACCTGTCCACATCTCACAGCTGGTAAGGGGCAGGGCTGAGCCTGAAGCCCACTTGAAACCCCGAATCAAGGGTTCTTGACCGCTGTCCTGTCTAGTTCTCAGCACTTTCCAGAAGGGGACAGTGAGGTCAGAGAGGAGAGGTGCCTATTCAGGATCCCGTGGTGGGTTTGTGCCAGGCCAGGGTTGGGACAAAGACCCAGGCTCCCCACCCACCTCAGCCCTCTCTGCCCATCGTGCCAGCCTCTGTTTGTCTAGTGGCCTGGCAGGTGACCGTGTGGCTGGATTAGGAGCAAGGGTAAAGGAAAAGTGGGCGGAGAGGACGGTGGGCTCAACGGCAAGGGAGAGGCTGCAGAAGACCTTTTGCAAGGCAGCTGCCCTGGGTGGGTGGGCCCCCTGCAGCCTGGGAAGGTATGGGCTGATTTGCATTTGGCCTTCAGGTTTCCATCACCAGGACACAGAGCACTACCTTGAGCTGGGCTCCAGAGAAATGAATAATAGCTCCCATTTTTCTAATGCCCATTACATGCTGGACATTAGGTCCCAGGTTTCTAGATGTGTGGGCATAAATACATACATGTAGACACACACACGGATGTACGTCACAAACACACACACCATGACATTTATTTCTCAAAACCACCTGGTGGGTGTTTTTTCTACAATGATTTCATTTTACAGATGATGAGTCTAAGGGTCATAGAGCACAGTATCATGAAGCTAGTTGCTGGGCAGGTCTAAAGCAAAACCGGTCTGACTTGCTCTCAAGTCTTTTTTCTTTCACTGCATTCCTTCATTCAATAAATATCCAAGTGAGCACCGATGGTGAGTGAGGCACTGGCCAGGGGTGTGAATGCAGCAATGAACCAATGTGTTCTCTTTCTGGAACTCACAACTTAGAGCAGCAGGTAGACATCGAGTCACCAGCCATTCTGAGCACGATATGTGCTTCCACAGAGTTGACAGTGATTTTTTTTGGGGGGTGGGGTGGGGTGGTACGGGGCACGTTAAGTGCAAAGAAACTGAGGCCCAGAGTTGTGCCCAGAGTCACACGGCAGAGGTGCAGGCAGAGGCCACTTCCGTCTCCTTCCCCTAAACCACGCTCCCAACTCTGATTGCTGACTCAGGACTCCTGCTGCCGCTGCTGCTGGTTTAAATCAGGGCTGTCTGACTAGTGAGAAATGTCACTTCCCGATTCCTTAGGGGACCAATCACCCATCATGGCTGGCTTGGGGGCAGCAAGCTGGCAGTGTAGAAGGCAGACACTGACAAGCTGTCACACCTGAGATTGACGACACCAGAGAACGCGCCCAAAATAGACTGTGGAGCGAGGCTGGTGAGTGCAGCTGGATCTGCAGGGCGGAAATGAGGGCCCATTACCGCTCATTCTGCACATGAACACCACAAGAATACAGCAGCTCACATACATTAGATACCTACTGTGCGCCAAACACCGCTCTGAGCACGCAGCTCGTCCCAGCTCACTTTACACACCCCAGTGAGGCAAGTGGATAAGCTCATGATGCCACTTTTCAGGTGAGGAAGGTTTAGCAAACTGCTC